AGCACCGTCCACCTCCTCCGCACCCAGGGGGGGTCTGCGGACCGGCTCAGCCTGGGCCGTGCTGGCCTCCCGGCAAAAGCTCTGCTCAAGCGCTGGCCGCCCAGGTGACGGCGCCTGAAGAACCAGGTGCTGCCAACAGGGGCCATGAAACGAAAAGACAGACCTTGATGGTCACTTTGCTGCTCAAATGAGAGATCAGTCTGTTTCGGCACACACGGCGGGCGGGGTCTCAGTGCCCAGGACAGCATCTACTCGCTGACGCTCACGGCCCTAAACTCACCTCGAACCCCACAGCGTCAAGGTATAAGGACCTGGCTCACTCCTCAGCAGAGCTCTGAGTCGGTCGAGCAGCACTGCTGGGTCAGGGGCCAGGGCCACGCCGACACTCTGCGTTTACCACTGCATCTGGGCGTGTGCTCACGCCCCCTTCAAAAGCTGGCAGTTTGGCCGGACAGCTACCAGGGCTGAGGGCTGATTTCTGAAGACTGCAAACTGGCAATGGATTTTCAAAGAAAAGATAACAGGCAAGACTTCAACAAAACCTCTCTAAGTCATTCATTTAAGTACTTTTCCACAAAGGAAAATGAAGGCGAGATAAGGGACAGGTGCGGCTTGGATGTGGCGCCACGTTCTCCCACGGTGGCCAGTCGCGTCCTGAGGAGAGCAGGGTGACGGCGGGTCTCTGCTTTTACTTTTTCTGCTCACCCAGCAGCCAGCTGGGCTGCTCCACACCCCCTGCCGTCCTGCAGGCTCCTCCTCTCAAAACAGCAACCCCGAGCAGGGGCGCTCCATGAACTTCCCCATCCTCCGTCCAAGCACCATCCCTGGCCTGCACATGGGGCTTCTCTGGGGCCGCCCCCAAGGGCACACGTGAGAGTGGTGGGTCAATGTCACGTGCCAACGTGTCCCCAGGGCAGGCAGGCAAAGGCCACGTCTCCCACCGAAGCTGGAGGCTTCTCAAGAGGCCAGCATCCCGAGGGCGGTGTCTACGTCCACCACTGTCCTGCCCTGGGGCACAGCCTCCGCCCGCCGGCCCTGCCACGACTAACACCATCCAACACCCGGGCCCTGAGGTCGGGGCGCTGGCCACGGCCTCGCCGGGTCCACATCCCAGAGTCCTTGCCAACCACATGAGGATGCCAGAGCACGTGCGAGGCAGGCACACGCTCCGCCCTCACACCCTCCCTGAGCACCTGGTTGGGGCAGGTGCCACGTGCATGGCATCTGGCCCGTCCACGTGCCCTCAGCGCCTACTGGTCGTCAGATGCCATTGGCTGCAGGCCCACAAACGACCCCAACCTCCTGCACCCCCCCCCAACCCCGGGGACAGCCAGGTGGGCACGGGGGCTTCCCTTCCCCGCCGTGAGGCCCGCCTGCTGACAGCACCCACCCAGGTTTCCAGGTGAGGAAGAGGCAAACGTTAGCCACTCACCCCTGGACACACTCAGAGCAGCTGGCTCCCTCCCGGGGTCCTCAGGCCGCCCCGTCTCCCCCGCCCCCTCCAGGCATTTCCCACAAAGCGGCCTTGTGGTTCCAGGGTCCCCAGCCCAGAGGCTCCCCAGAGGTAGATCAGTCAGGACCACCTGGCTCATCCGTAGGCCAAGCAGCGTCCAGGGAGGCCATCTGCAGTTCTGGAAGCTTGGGCGGGGTGAGGGACACTGACACCGCCCAACCTTGGGGGGATTCCCTGCCGATCTGTTAGGTCTTCTGGGCCCTCAGGCCTGTGGTTGGTGCCCCCACATCCAGAGGAGCCCCCCGGCTTGCGTGCGCACCTGTGCTGGCCTAACACACGGCCAGGCCACATCCAAGGGCAGAAACAGGGCCCTGGGTGCGCAGTGGGCCCCTGAGAGAAAGCCAAGCCCCCCTGGCTGGTCCTGGAGTGGTGCCCAGACTCCCCACACGGGCCAGGGCTCCATAGATCACGCGTACCCAGAGCACGGGTCATGGAAGACCAGGGGTCAGCCTGTGGAGCTGCACGGTGGCTACAGCGCCACCACCTGTCCTGCGCCACCACCTGTCCACCCAGGCCACTCCTTCCACGTGGCTGCGGTCCGACAGCTGAGGAGGAGCCCTGGCATCCACAGGACAGGACACAGCCCCGTAACATGTGGTTTACACCGCACACCATGGCTCCACGGTGACAGGACGGGGGCGGGGGACAGGGGGGCATCCAGAAGCCTCGGGGTGCCTCCCACGCCTCTGGAGCCGCTGGAATTTCCTTTCTTGCGCTCACTCAATAGAAATCTGTGTTTGAGTCACAACAAAGTTTCAGTTGTTAGTGGT